ACCATTCAATCTTCCCGGCATATACATTTTATGGTTAGTATATTGAATGAAATCATGAGGATTAGATGAAAATGATGAAGGATATAATGAATTAAAGTCAACTCCAACGAAATGAGACATGATGTTGGTGGTGTCCTCATTTGATACAGTTTTAGTTTCTGGATTATATGAAAGTTTATTAATGTGCGTGATTCCTTTAAGATTTACACGATGTTGAACATTTGATAGACCACCAGTAATTCCATTACGGAGAATGTGATAAGCTTCAACTGAATCTAAAGTCATTGGTAAATTATTTTTTAATGCATAATTTCTTAAATTGATTCTTAAACGTTGAACATCTTCATCTTTATTTGATTTTACGACATTGCAATAACAACACATTAACTGACAATTTTCTTTGGTATGTGGTTTTTCATTATCGATTCTATCCAATGTTGGTTTATTTGCATATGTAAACGCTTTACCACACATTTTGCATTTAGATGAAAGGATTAAATCATGATAGTATTGATAGTCATCCATTGAAACATTATTTTTAGTATCCCTTTCTGCTTTTTCATCTTGTTTCTTATATGCTTCAATTTTATATTTCCAATACTTTTTCGTTAATTCAAAACTTGATTCCGAAACAATAAGAATTACCGAAAAAGTGACAAAACATCAAAAACAGGGAGGAGGTCTCAATTTTTATTACTTATATTATTTTACAATATTTATATAAATACTCTTTATAATATATTTTACTATAAAATTATACCTCAAATTCAAATATTTAAAATATTATTTACATAATTATCTCAAAATTATATTTTTATATATTATTTTTCATATGTATAAATCATATAATCTATATCTATGCAAATCTCATCTAATTTTTTTTTGAAACAAACCGCTACCATTTTATAATGGTCCATCTTAAATTCATCATAAATTCTGGTACATGTTAGTACCAGAGTCTTCAAATCTCAAAACACTCTGGTACTAACATGTACCAGACGCGAGTTTCCAATGCCCTCGTACGATTTTCTATTAAGATCTTCTTGAATGAGAAGGTCTTCATAGAAACTCGTACGAGGGCTTCTCTTTTAAATACTCTGGTACCTGCTGGTATCGGAGTCGACTTTACAGCCCTTTCCCCAATTTTGAAGCTGGGGAAAGTTTTCAAGCAATGAAAGGGAAGCTCTCGCTATGAGGTGAAAATCTAGAATTTTTACCTCATAGCGAGTAATCCTTTGTTAATTGCTTGAAAACTTTCTTCAAATATCAAAATTTCGAGGAAAGTTTCCTTGCTTCAAAGTAGAGATGGAGCCCTTTGAGCCACTGCATATAGGTCAGTAACTCAAAATACTCCATCTCTACTAGAAATCGCCAAAATTTGGGTCGCAATCTTTGAAATGCGACGCAAGTTTTGGCAATTTCGCGAGGGACTTGCTCCATTTGGTGCATAGATTCACACTCTATGCACCAGATGGAACAATTCTTTTTGCTGACAGCGGGAAACTTTGTCTGAATAGTTTAACATTCAGACAAAGTTTTCCGCTGTCAGAGAGGGAATGGAAGGGTAAGAGGTATATATTCATAATATATACCGCTTACTCTTCTATTCCCTCAAGAAAGTTCAAAAACTTGGGTGCAATCAGTTCTGATTGCACCCAAGTTTTTGAACTTTATATAAGGAATTGTTGGCTAGATGTACTGATCATGAATCAGTACATCATAGCCAACAATTCCTTCGCAAACAGTGGGAAACTTTGTCTGAATAGTTTAACATTCAGACAAAATTTCCCGCTGTCAGGGAGGGAATTAGAGGGTGGGAGATATATAGATAGACTATAAATCTCTCACCCTTTAATTCCCTCAAGAAAGTTCAGAACTGATTGCACCCAAGTTTTTGAATTTTGTATAAGGAATTGTTGGCTATGATGTGGATAGCCGCTGCCAGACCAAATGAATTAACCGTTGTGAATAACGTTTCTGAATCTTTATTTAAAAGATAAAATATCACGATTTTGGCTGCGTTAAAAATCAAAGAATTGATGTTTTTGTCAAAAATCTTTTAGAAGAAGTTGCACCCAATTACTTTTATCGTATTAAAAACGATTTACTTCAAACAGGTTTTATTCCTTCAATTAGAATTCGCGAGCCTCAAAAAAAAAAAAAAAAAAAAAAAAAAAAAAAAAAAAAGGGAGTGGGGCTTCCAGGCACTTCGTGCCTTCTAGCCCTGAGGATGATTGATATAATGAAGTTTTTTTTTTCTTGGGGTGGTCTTCCAGGGGCTACGCCCCTTCTAGCCCACATAAATGAAGTTCTTATATTCGGAGGGCTTCCAGGAGCTTTTCACAAATTATATATGTTTTCATGTTTTGTCGAAACTTCTTCATCGTAAATGTTTTGTCAAGACTTCTTCATCGTAAATGTTTTGTCAAACATGAACGTAAATGTTTTGTCAAGACTTCTTCATCGTAATGAGCGTAAATCAGACAAAAATAATGTTTATGTTAGAATGTTAGATCTAACACCTTTTCTAACATGTTTTCTAACATCGTAGAAAACTCATGATTTCTTCGTAAATGTTTTGTCGAAACTTCTTCATCGTAAATGTTTTTAACTTCACTTAAAATGCCACGTAAGCTACGTAAGAATATACGTAAGAGGAAGAGAGCATTGAAACATCCAATAGTAAAACTGACACCACAACAACAGTTGCAACAACAAATGCTGAATGACCCCACTATGTTGCAACAAATGTCAAGCAATCCTATGCTTTTAAACCGAGTTGTTGGTGCACAGAGTGGAGGTTTAAGAGCGGCACTTTTAGCGAAAATGGCAGGCTATGGTGGAGCTGCAGACGGAACAGCCTATAACCCTCAAAGTCAAAAATGAATTTGAGTTCACTCAAAAATCAAATAACAGATGTCAAAAAGTCAAACATAGACATACAGAAGCAAATAAGTGAAAACGAAAAGAAACTAGAATATGACAGACACACAAAGAAACTCAATGAGTTAAACGTAGAGAAAAAGAAGAAAGAAGAACAACTGAAAGAACTAAGTACAGAGGAATATGCGAAAAAAGTGTCAGAAAAAGCAGCAGAAGTAGCAAAAATGGAACAAGATGTTGTAAATTTGAAAAACCATACTACTCAATATAAAATACTGAAAGATGAAGAGATAAAACAAAAAGCCCTGAAGACATAATGGATAGCGATGAGTATAAAAAAGAAGTTGAAGCAAATGTAAAGGCAGAAAAACTTTTACAGTTGCAAAACCAAACCGTACAGTATGAAAAACTTAGCACAAGAAAGTAAAAATAACGACGCAGCCATGCAAAAGGCAATGAAAAGCGCAGAATATATAAAAGCTAACAATGACTGGTTAGATGCCCAAGCCAACGCTAAAGCAGCCCAACTCATAGGGTCAATAAGGACAAAAATACAAGCGGATGAAGATAGTTCAAATGAAGCTTTAACAAATGCTGACTTTAAGAACGCCTTCGAAGCTCTTCATAGTAAGGTGAAACAAGTGAACGACTTCTCATCTGGAAAGAAACTGAAGTCTGAAGGTTTCGACAAAGAGTTAAAAGAAGTAGCACAAAATATGACGAAAATAACAGATGCAGCAACGAGACAGGCAGTTCAAAGTGCCTATGACGCCGTTAGAGCAACTGTTGTGGAAAGTCAAGAAAAAGAGTTACAACAGACCAAAACAGACCTAGTAAATGCTTTCTTAAAAACGAAAAGTCAGGTAGGACATTACGCTGCAGATGGAACATATGTGCCAGCTGGTGGAACTTATATACCACCAAACCCTCCAAGAGAAAGCACCTGCACCAGGACTACCTAGAACATTTACATCGTCACATGGACACAGACACAGGCATGCACAACAACCAGCACAACAACCACCTCCACAACCAGCACAACAACCAACAGTTCAAAACCCTGCACAACAACCACCTCCACAACCAGCACAGCAACCACAAACAGAGAAGGACATAAAAGAAGTAGAGAACAAGGAAACCAAGAATTCTTAAAAATGCTTAAAGAAGAGTGTGGTTTCCCAGATACTGTTGACTTTAGTGACAGATATAAAGAAGCTATTGGAAAGTTCAAGGATGGAAATACTGACCCGAACCTATTTAGCTTTATGGCTCAGCACCAAAACGGATATAATCTCAAACCTGGAAAATACAAGCTCGCTAAGGGATATGATTTAATAGCATATCATCCAAATGACATGGATGAATTTACTCCGAGATATTTGATGTCAGAGCTAAATGACAATTCAACTTTCGTCATGAAACGCGTAAAAAATAGAGACGGAACGAAAGAACAAAAGCTTATGAATGCGGATGACGTAGATAGGGAAATTGTTGAAAACGGTCTCGGAATATATGAAATGCCAGCAGATGAGGTACAAGAAACTCCACAGGAAGAAGTTCAGATACAACCAGACATGGAAGAAATAGTTCAGCAACAACAGCTAGAAGAGCCTGAAGGAAACGAACAAGTCACTCCTTTGGAAACTAACTTCACAGAACTAGATGAAGATTTGGAACAGCCGAAAAATCTTGACCCTCAACAAGAGTATGCGGAGAATATGGAATATTTCCAAGAGTCTAAAAAAAATTCGGCTGACATAGTAGAAGAATATCGAAAAAATGTTTGCCGACATACAAAAGACTCCAACACCAGATGAAAATATTCAGCATAGAATGAAAGTACTGAAAGAAAATGTACACAAATACAACAACCCTTTTTACTTACGAGCATTTAACGTTCAATCTTCGGATGAACTCGGTGAAAATAAAAGGTTAAATTTCAAGAAAACATATAGAAATGAAACATTGTTTAAAGTTCATTCAGAACCTAACCAAGATGGAAAAAACCTACTTTTGTTTCTGCAGACGATGGAACTACAATGAGATGGGGTCATAAAGCTAATCCAGATAGGTGGTTCATAAACTTACAACCACAATTCCAAGAAGTTGTAGACGCAATGGAAGTCAATGGTGAACGAGATATAGCTGGTATTTTAAGCGCGGCTTTAATGCCATTGAAAGATATGAAACATGCAGATATTTTGGACCAGTATGAAATGAACATGGCTGATGGAAATATAACACCTGACGTTCTAGAACATTTATCTCAAAGAACTACACAGAACCATAGAGATGGTATATTTGGTGAAGAGTTTAGAAAGAAAGTTAGGGAGAGAGAAGGAAGAGAACCTATTGTACATGACCTTGCAAATGAAAGTTTACAAAATGTCATAAAAACTTACTTTGCAGACAATGAACTGAGAAGGGATGAATATTTAAGAAAACTCAAATGGACAGTACCAAATGAAATGTTAGTATTGAAAAACATGTTCCTTGACAAAATAAAACCAACTACAGAAATAAACGACGCAAGACTGAAAGATTGGGTAAAAGCTTTCCCATTCACAAAAGATATAGTTGGTAACATGGAAAGAAAACCAGAATGGCTACAAAAACATATATTTGGAAACGAGCTTATTCCATATGGACAGGCACTGTTTGAAGAGCTTGAACCAGAAACTCAGGAAAGAGTCATGCAAACAATACGCGACGACTCAAATACAGACTATGACAAACTCTTTCTAGGATATAGGTTACCTGAGATGGGCGACCAGAGCCAAAAGGCAAAAAGGACATGGGAAATTTGCAACATACTAGATGAACATAATGCAAAGATGCAACAACTTCAAGCAGAGGGCAATGAAGGAAAAAGAAGAGTTAAAAACTCAGTCAGGAAGAAAGTAAAGCTTGGTCCACGTGGGTTCTATTATGACATATAAATCCAACTATTCTATATTTTTACTCATATGAAATGTACGCCGCTCAGATATAACGCCAACAGTTTTGGATGCTATGAATGGAAATGTTTCCGAATGGTATAACGAATGCGACAATGCCATTAGAAGGTCAGAAATAGTTCCTGGAACTTACGAATATACAACTGCTGTTTCTTATGGAAACGTAGGTGAGTTTGGAGAAGGTTCTTCAACAACAGTAGATATTGCTTGCGACAGGTTTCATATTATTTCTATTGACAACTCATTCTTATACGTGGAACAAGACATTGAAATAAAACCTTCTGCCAAGTTGTCTGACAAGAAAGGTTGCAATGGAATTTTCTATGTCGGATACCAATATGCTCCAGAAGTTTTCATGGGATATAAGATATATTCTAACTCTGACTTAGTTCAAACAGTAACATGGGCAAACTATGAATGGTTCGCTTTGAGAAACTCAGTACAACCACAAGCTAGAGAACAAACAGACCAGTATGCAACTATTGAGAAAATAAGAAGACTTGACCCTAACGTTCCAGGAGTTTATGTTGACCTTTCTGGACAAACTGCAGCAGCAGTAACCAAAGTAAAACTGAAACTTAGAGTCCCTTTGTCATCTTTCCTCATCTTCAGGTTTTTAAGATACTTGCCAAACTGGGCAGGAAAAATTTCTATTGAACTTACTCCAAGCAAAAATAACTTAGTCATTGCACCAACACAAGACCCATTCACTCTTACAGACGTAAAGGGAACAAATAAAACGTCATTCGCCGAATTTTGCAAAGACAAAGTTGACTTAGACTTTGGTTTCTCAAACCTCAACACTGAAGTAAACTATTATTTCAATGCTGCTGGAGATGCTTGGGACCCAGTTAAGTTCACATGCGAAAAATTTGAATGCAAGAGAATAGAAAGCAGACTTGCAGTCTATATGTTGGACCCAGATATTTCAAATGCTTTAGCTGCCAAATATATTGCAGTTCCACTTATGTTCCCTATACACCAAATATCTGTCAAAGACTTTGCAGGTGAAGTTGGAAACCAAAGTGCTGACCCAGGTGCAAGAACAGATATTGCTTAACAACTGCAATGAAACATGCAGATACTATGTTTGTACTGTTCAGACGAACTATAAATGACTATTCTTGTTTCTACAACCCTGGTATTAAATATCATATAAACATAGATGGCAATATTATCCAAGAGAAGAATATTCTACAGTTGAGGATATGAGGTCATACAACTTGACATTAGATGCTATGAACTTAACAACAACTTCACACAACAACCATTAACCCTGAAATGCAAAGTTCTATTATGCCATATGTGAAAGTATGGACTCATACAGGAAGTCAAAAAACTCAATATACAAATGGAGACCGTTCAAACTTTTGGCTTGGCATTCCATTTGCTGACTCAGAAGACTTTATGGGTGGTATTTCAACTGTTGGTACAGTTCAAATACAATATACTGGTGACAGAGACGGTCCAGATGAATTGAAAGCAAAGAAGTTTACAAAACCAATAGCACTTTTCACGGAAGATGCTCTTTTGAAGATTCGTTCGATGAAACCTGCTGGGGCTCCTCAGATTGGCATAACGACAGCTTCCATCGAGCAGATTTTGGCAGCAGGTCAGTAAGTTGTTCTTGAACTGACTTCTCTCCGTCAAATATTGACAGTACGCCAGTTTTGATATAATATTGTATATTAAACTTACCTTTAGAAATATCGGTCAGTTTTGTTGTTATATATTTTTCCCAGAGGAAGAGATATACAAACAATGAAAATGTTATAGAATAGCAGTCTTTGCTGAACCAAAATTTTCATAAAGCAAAGAAAGTTGGTATAACTGAAAATGGTGAAAGTTCTTGAAGGCAGGAAAAATATAAATA